GAATGAGTTAAAATTTCTTAAGTTTTAGCGATTATTTTCTCCAGAATCATTACTGAAATAGCTCTGAAAAATCGCAGGTTTACACATGCAACAAACTCTGAATTATACATGAACCAGTGCTGGAAAATAGCGATCACTCGGATACTACAGAAAAAACGATAATTAACGATGAGACTTCAACCCTGGAGCGCTCAGAAAATCAATTTGTCTATTTTAAAACAGCTGAACAAAAATTCTAAATTTACTTGAAAGTCAGCAAACTAGAAGTTGAAAATAAAGATATAACGTTTGCAATAATCAGCTAGTTCAGCCGTCAAATTCCCGGGTAGAGATGCCCACTTTATGCTTTGATCATCTGGACCACAAATTGGTATGTTTCGACCGTGTTTGAACAAATTTCGGTATGCTTCGACAGTGCTGGACCAAAACAAAGTGCTCGACCGTGCTCGATCCTATCAAGATATCTTTCGACCGTGATCGACTGAATTTGCGTATGTTTCGACTTTGAAACGACATGAGTTATCCAAATTTCAATGTTATAAAATATGCTTTTTGAGTAACATCTTATGATGCTTTTTTATCAGAAATAAAAATTATTAGAGTAATTTGCTTTTTAAATTTGCCGTGTAGAAATAAACTGAATTTTGAGCTGATTTGTTTCCATCTTCCGGAAGATTGTTATGCAGTTTGAGTCGAAAATGTTAACAATAAGCTGATATTTGGGAAAAAAAATTTACAGCTCCGAAGTTCCGTGGAATAATCGTCTTTTTTCTTACCGTGCTCGAGGTATGTTTTGAATTTGTGCTCGACCCAAACCACCGTTTTGAATTTTATTTTTCAGTCGAGGACAGACATGTGCTCGACTTTGAAAATCAAAACATAAAGTGAGCACCTCGACCCGGGTTCGCCTTAAATAAAAAGAATGGAAAAATTTATGCTTTTAGAATCGATTGCCCGTGTCGAAGCCCACAACAGAAAAAACGCGGTAATATCACATCAGTGCGACTTACTATTGGCAAATTTGCGACTCCAGATTTGCGCAAAAAGCCGGGACTGAAAACATGACACGACGACCGCAGCAAAAAATAAACCAGCTCGACTGTTGGGATTGAAAATTGCCAATTTCGAATCGACGTGACTGAACAAAAACCGACAAGACGGGTGGTTGAAAATACTATCCCGCTCACTCAACATTTTTTAGTCGCGACAAAATCATTTCTTAGATAGGTCGCGCTGCCAAACTTATTTCCTAAACCACGCTGCCAAAGTCATTTATAAAAGTCGCATTGCATACGTTTTTTTTCAGTGATGCCGCTGCTATTTATCTTCTTAAGTCGCCCCCACCTGTACGACGTCAGAAATTCTTTATTTCTTACACAAGGTGATTCTCAAATCTAAAATTCTAAGATCTTGAAAAAAATTATAAGAATTCAATTCTGAAGTTTAGAATTTAAACGATAATTATCAGATCTGAAATAACCTTGAAAAACAAAAATTCAGATCTGAATTTAGATCTGAGAAAATTTTCGTTGAATTTTAAAATATGCACGCAAACAATTGAGTTTTCTATTTTTTTTTTGAAGTTTCTGCATCATATTTAGATTAACTAGAGCATTTAAAAAATTCAGAATAAATAAACTAATAGTTGTTTCAAGCTAAATTTCTTGTTTTTTTTTTCTACTTCAAAATTATTTAGAAGACTTATCAAATTTTTTTTTACTGGAATACTTTTTTTCAATTTTGCAAGCTACACTATTTTATTACTTTATCCTGTTGACTTTTTTATCAGTTTTCTTTGTCTTATTGATCTCCTCAATAAAAAGAAGAGTTCATCCTATTTTTTTAAATTAGAAATTAAGACATTTTTTTAATGTCGTTTTACTTCAAAAATGTTTAGTGGCTGAATTCAAATGCTTCAGTAATGTGATTTTTACATGCTCTTCGTTTAACACTTATGGGACGCCCAGAAGTGACTATGGCAGCGTACTGACTTACCTAGGACAGAAACGATACAAACTGTTCCCATGTGCCACAAAACACGATTAAGAAAATAAAGTAAATAGGGTGGTCTCAGAGAAGTAGCCGGAAGAATGTCACTCAAGGAGGCAAATTGGACCACCTGGGCCAATAGAATCGTAACAGCGAAGGATACCTTGTCACAAGCATCGGAAGGGAGTCCAAAAGATAGTCCAGATAGCACGTAGATCACAATAGTTGGAATCACTATAGATACCGAGTAGTAGAAAGGCCTTCGTCGTAGATGAGCTTGGACAACCAAGTTTAGCTTATCATCCGTGCCGATTGGAGCACTAACCAATTCCCATTGCTCGTCTTGCTGATAGCTGTCAGATATTGCGTTTGTATAGGTGGGTGAAAAACTAGTTCGGGATGATTATCTGGTATAAATCAAAAAGTTCTAAGTGAACTTTACGATTTCAGTCAAGTCAAAAGTTATTTAAATGAACGAAATTTGTTCTTAATTGTTGTAGCTAGATTTGCTTTGTTTTCGGTTTAATACAAAAGTTTATTACTCAGTATTTGAAAAAACAATTCAGCGCAAAAATGGTACCATGAAATTTTCATAACAACTATCAGTTTAATTATTTTTAGCCCTCGATCTGTCTTTTTTACAATTTATTGTTTTCCAGCTTGAATTTCCATTTTTTGCAAAATGGAATCTCGTCGGCTCGATGTCCAACAATTATATATTTTAATATCTGAATTTTTTAACAAGCATCCATTCGAAAGCATAATTATTCATGCCCAAGCGATCAAAAGGTAATACACTACAAGTTATATTGTTTTTTTTTCAACTAAAGTTTTTTACTTATCAGCTCATCAGGGGAATAATTTCGTAAGTTTTCACAGTTCTTGCATTCCATCAGTACGATATACGTTCAAACTTGAGTTGATTTCTCACCTGTGATGGTTTTCACCTGTGTTGGTTTTCTCACGATCTCATTTATTCATTATCGGTTTTGATGTTTTTGTTTGGAAAGGATCGATTTTTGTATTTAAGCATAGTTTGATTGCTAATTTTGTGACAGTGGCACACGTTTATGGTACTGGTGCAGATCAATTAACTCAACAAATTCGTTCGATTGTTCGAAAAAATTTGAATTTTTGAACTTTCATTATCCGACAAATTTGTACATCATTATTTATGACGAGAAAACAGTTTTAACGAAAACAAGATTTCTGAGCCAGATTGTCGACACTCAAACGTTAATAGAACAAAACAAGACTGCTCGTATCAGGGCAAGTCCTCGAAATTTTCGACTGTCATTTAATTGATCTTGAATAGCTTTTGGGTTATTAAATATTTTCAAAAGCCATTAATTTTAGGCTGATAAAATCGAAAATTAAGTCTTACAGCTTCAGTTGTGTATGAAATTTGAAAAACCAATTAGTTGTCTCAATCCAATTTGGAAAGATTTTTAGCGCGTGATAATTCGCAATTTGTAAAGTATAAAACGATTAGTTTGGACAGACTGATGGCAGTTGAATATGGTGGTGTGCAGACCCTCCTGGGAACCTGCAGATCAATAGATTGATCGCCGAAGGGTTCATAGTTTTGTCAAATTGGTCTGAATAAAAACTACCCCCCCCCCCCCCCCCATCATGTATATTCCACGTTTTCTTCAAAATTTGTTGGAATAAAAAGACACTGCTCGTGTATCAGAGTAAACCTTAAATGTTTAAATTGACCTCGATTGTCTATTACAAAGTTTTTTGGTTTTTTTGGTTTAAAAAATAATTAAAATAAAAAGTTGTGAGTATTTTGTAAAATTTTCATTTCAAATTGTGTCCTCTTCACTAGCTATGCAAAGTATCAAAAGGTATGTTTGCACGCGGTATCGTATTCAAAAAAGTAAAATGCATTGCATTAGTTCAATTTAGAAGGTTTCAATATGCCGCTTTAGTAGATTGAAGTAATTTGATCGTAAAAAACTCCCAGTTTGAATTTCATATGTCAAAGAAGCCCCCAAGTCAAACCATTATAATTATTCGAGGAAAAATTACGTCTAACAATAACTTTTTAAATTTGAGTTCAAAAAACAGTAAATTTCAGATGACATATGAAAGTTTTGTTAAAACCGCGCAGTTAAAAAGTCAAGTTTAGATAACAAGAAACCAATTCAGGCATAAAATTTTACATAAGCTTTTCCAAGTTTTGTTTTCATTTTGTTTCCAAACAATTTTTTTCGCTTTGAATTATGACAAGTTTTGCTTCCATTTTACATCAAATAATACGAACTTTGTTAATAACAAGGATACACTCTGATTATTGTCAGCTGTAAATGCAGATATGCAAAAACTTGGAATTGTTTGTGCATGAAATTTCAAAATTCTGGTGAAAATTTGAGGGTAAAGTTTAAGTCAACTCGAATAAAATCTGAGTTAAAACAAAATGAGCGCTTGAGTGCTGGAATAAATATGTATAACACCAAAGATAAGGCACATCTCTGGGGCTCGTATTATGCATTTTGAGCGTCACGAATTGTTCGAAGAGGGTTTTTTCAAAAACTATGTCGACAATTTTTTTTGATCAAATGAATTTTTCAGAAAGATTTTTTTGACCAAGAAAGTTTTTCAAAAAAAAGTGTCGACTTTTTTTGACCAAATGGGTTTTCCGAGCCCTCCCAAAGCACTCTGAAGACGCTGTTTTGAGAATATTTTTGCTGGCAAATTTTGAAAAAATACGAGTCAAAACAATGTTTTTAGGCTTTTTTAAATAATTTTTCGATCAAAAAGTCACTTTTTTAGTGCGCGCTCCCTAACATTTAATAAAAATTGGCAACAACTTATAATTTTTTTTAAATCAGTTGAAAATTTGAACAAAAAATACCAGCGTGGGGTTGGAGGAGTCGAATAAGCGCAGAAGTTTCATATTTTTCCATTATTGTGATTCCATTAAATTAACTTTATTGATTTTTCATTAATATAATTCAAAAAATCTAATTTTCAGGAAATTCAAAAGAGAATACCTTTTAGTTTAATGTTGTATAAGCTGACATAAACGCCCAATGGTTCCGATACAATAGTTATATTGCACCATTGCTCATCAAATGGAAACTTTGACACGTCAAACGAACAAGACATCCGTGGAGTGAATGAGTCATAGGCTAACGCGACCCAGCCGCTGGCTAATACCAGCTGGTGTGACCCTGTGAGTTGGAATCTAGAGTCAACAACATTCTCGATAGCTGAAACAAATTGCTTGCTGAAACAAATTGCTTAAAACAAACTTTCAAAATTTGATTTGTCAAATCAGTCGCAGATCAATTTGATGTACTGATTTTCTGGTAATTGAGCTGGTTGTTTGAGGTCAAAAAAATTAAACCGGAAAGAGTTTCATTAAGAGGCCAAAAGGTTTTTTCGTGAATTGTAAGAAGATTCCGCAATAAGGACGCTCCCTTTGTTCTTTCGTTTTTTGAAAGAGTTTCATTAAAAGTTTCTTTAAGAGGCCAAAAAGTTTTGTTGTGAATTGTAAGAGGACTCCGCAACAAGGACGCTCCTTTTGTTCTTTTGTTTTTTGAAAGAGTTTATTTAGGAGTTTCTTTAAGAGGCCAAAAGGTTTTTTTGTGAAATGTAAGAGGATTCCGCAACAAGGACGCTCCTTTTGTTTTTTGGCTTTTTTTTTATTGTTCCGGCCAAAATTACCTTTTCAGTTGCTCACAAAAACTATATCACAGTAAGCCCCTTAAATTGCCCAACACAAATTACCAGACTTTCAATTCCGAAAATTGCGCAAAACGTTTCAAGAAAATTTTTTAAAAAAAAACTTGGTGTTTTATACAATCAAAAATGACATTTTTGTCAAACGAAAACAAATCTATTTCATTACGAGGCCAAACTGTGCATTCTGTGCCTTGTAAGCGGATTCCTCAATAGGTCAAAATTATACTTGTTTCAGATTCCGCAACTTTGCTACTTTTCTTTGATCTTATTCGCTAATTTGGATTCCACAAACAAATACCTTAATCACTGTACCTCTCAAAATCGCCCAAAAAACAGTCGATTTTGCGGAATCCGCAACCGTATTTGCCGAATCCATTACAGTTTGTGGAATCCACAAACAAATAAATAGACATTTTTTTATTTAAACTGAGCTGATGCGGATTCCGCAAACTGTAAGGGGAATCCGCATATTGTAAGTGGAATCAGCAATTTGTTTGCGGATTCCGTTTACATATATGTATATGTGTATTATAGCGTTTAAAACTATTATATCTTTTATTTACACTATGGTTACCAGAAAAATCAATCTCAATTACTACTTTGATCAACTACCAGTTGAGATACCAAACGTTTGCTCTCAATTCCTGTCAACCCAACTTCGATCTCAAATCCTGTCAACTTCGACCTCAACTTCGATCTCATCTCACTAAAATTGGAATCTACTAAATCACCAGTATTTGATGTTGTTGGAATCCCAAAAGCTGACCAGTATATGGGATTTATTCAATCCCAAAACCTGACTCAATTCGCCGATGTGTTTTGCGTTGTGTTTCGAAACTCTCTCAATCCAATGATTACAAATTTTGAATTTAATCGGCGTTATGCTTCCAAAATCAGCAATTGTGATTGACGCCATCCCAAAAACTGACATAATTTGGCGATTTTCTGTGTGTTATTTTTCTATTCACTCTCGACCCAATGACTACAAATATTGAATTTATTCGGCGTTAAGCTTCCAAAATTAGCATTTGTGGTTGACGCCATCCCAAATACTGAAATAATTTCGCGATATGCTGTGTGTTATTTTTCCATACACGCTCAACCAATGACTCCAAATATTGAATTTATTCGGTGTTATGTTTCCAAAACAGTTAATTTCTTGCCCTCAAATTCCGCATTGCTATAGATAAGAAATCCCGCTCTAGCTTCTAATTGTTCATATGCAAGTTCAGTAATAAACAAAATTCTGAATCCACTTACAGTTTGCGGATTCTGCCTACAAATTTTGGGGATTACACTTACATTTGCGGACTCCACTTACGTTTTGTGGAACCCACTTACAGTTGCGGAAACCAGAACAACTAGTTGTATTAGTTTGTTGCGGAATCCGCGGCACAACAAATATGCCGACAATATTTAGGTTACAGGTCTTTGTTTGCGGAAACCACGGAAGTTTTGTAAATGCAATCCAATTATGTTTTTTGAAACATATTTAAAGGTTTGCTTATAGAATCCAGGAACACACATATACAAAATTGTGCGCCTATCCAGTGCACAGTTTGACCTCGTAATGTTAATCAAAATTGAGAAATGTACCCCAGGTGCAGTCGTCTCGGAAATTTTGCCAAGATCTAGAAGAATCTTGAAGATTTATCAAAGATAGCAAAAAATACTTTCGAAAAAATCATGTTTGTTATAAGGCTTTAAATAGTTCAAAGATCAAAACTACTTCCTCAGAAACCTGTATGGAGGCTCAGCAGCTCATTAAGCAAAACCAATTTTTTCCAATGAAAACGTGGATTGCTCTTCAATATTCTTCAAGATTTTTCAGATTGAATTGATATCTTAAGACATTTGAAACTTTTGATATTATTCTTTTTTGAACCTTGATTTGATTTTCAATTAGTAAGACAAAAACATTTCAAAAATTTGGAAATTCATGAAAAAAATTCTGATTCGCATATTGTCAAAAATTTTTTTTTAAATGTTAGCTGTCTCAGTTTTTTCTTCAAGATAATTTGAATTTGCTTGAAGACTCTTTGATATCTTCCAAGATTTTTTGACAAGAATTTGCCAAGACAGCCAAGATTTTCTGCAAAATTCAACCAAGATTCTTTAAGATTTTTTAAAGATATCAAAAATTGATAGACTTTGGGTAACAATTCTGCTAAAGTTTTAAGCAAGATATTTATCGTCATTTTTTGTTTAAAATCAATCCACTTTGAGTAATATCCGTTTTCATTTTCAGTTTTTATTCGCTTCGTCCGAATAATTAAATCAGCGCTGTACGAGTAAAAATCGTAATCATTTCGATTGGGAAACTGAACTAACCGAGAGAAGGAAACCATGTAATTCCAACCGGAAGAGTGATAGATGCAATATAACCAGACGTCGCTCTGATGTCCCATAGAACACCTCCATCGCGGAAGTAGCTGGCGCTAGTGTTAATCCTTGCAACCCAAAGGCCAGCTTTTTCATCCACTTCTAAAATTTGGCAGATCTTGAATATGACTTGAATATTGCTGCAGCGCTGAGGCGGTATATACTGCGGAATCTTGTTTTTGATACTCCTAATAATGTTTTGCTCATCTTTGATCCGTTCATCAACTACTTCAAAAGCGTCTTCATTGGGTTCCAATAGTTCTAATGAAATGTTCTAAAGACATGAAAGTGAATTTCCAAGTGTTTGTGAGCGCTCTGATTATGTATTTTGACACTATTGCAAATGAGACTTTCGAATACCATATCTGCAGTTCAGAACTAGCATTTTTTGCAAAATTTGTAACTGGTCATTTAAAGTTTTTGATCTCTATATAAGAGTAGAGTAAAAATTGCCCAAATTGGTGAATTTAACTTTGACGAAAATTTCATGCAGAAAGTTTTCTGCGTAGTGTTCGGAGAGAGCTCAAAAAAGTATCGAAAAATCTAAATCTTAGATCTACCCCTAAAACAGAAACATGAAAATTAAAAATTAAAATAAACATTTAAAAAAAAAGTGAACCAAAAGTTTTTAAAATTTAATTTTTTTTTGCTGTAGAAAGTTTCGTATCATAATTATACAATTGCTTTTTATTTAAAAAATCCTTGTCATCAGAGGCCACTTTAAGGGCAACCCATACACCCTCACGCCATATTTTTCTTACTTTCACGAGGGAAGATGCGCTGAAATGCAATATTTTGGTCAAAAGTTTCAAAAAACGCCGAATGAGGGCGGCACAGAAAATTTTTACAGGGTTTTTGTAGAGTTTAGACGAGCTCGGAAAACCAGTTCGATCAACCTAATAAAAGATAAAGTCGACAACTATGAAAATGTTTTGAAAAACGGCCCTCAAGAATATCGTATATACATACCACAATGCAATTATCACTTATTTCTTAGATTATTGAAATTATATGAAAAACCTGATAAACTTGATAAACTCTTTTTCCTTCTCTGAGATTCGACTCTCTTGTCACGCATTTGGTTCCGGTTTTGATACTTTTACAGCACTTTGGTTGACTGAAACTTTTCCCACGGCACCTCTGACTCCAGTATTTATATGAACTTTGAAAACCAAAAGGTTGACAAAACTTCTGAAATTCTTTGTACAGTTAATGCCAAATAGTGACAAGATGAAAGAAATGAAACTTTTTATAAATTTTTTTTCGATATATATCTTTCTGATAATGAATTTTTATACAAACTGCTCTTCATCTGATCTACGTTTCATTGATTCTGCTCTTTAAGCTCTCGAGGTAGCCCACACGATGAGATGAATTTCTAGTTGGGTCACCATCCAGGCATTCATAATAGGATTTAATGTAGCTGGTAACATTTTAATTAAACTCAACTAAACTAATAAAAAAAATGCTCATTTTGACATCTGAAATCAATTTGCTTTTCATTCCGACCTTAAAAACAAGTTAAAAAGCATATCAAAAAATGTAATTGACCTCTAATAACCGTTTTTGACCGTTTAAATGCTCAAGGTCACCGATATTGTCGAAAATTTGGCGTAAAATATATTTCAGACAATTCAAACAAAAGCCGGAACATGTATGATTTGAAACCTGATCTAAACTACATTTTATAATTGGATAAATTGGATAATTTACCACTGTAAAATATTTAATATTAACCAATCATAATCCATCTAACTAACAACCCACTTATTTGTAAGTGCTGAAATTACTTGTAATTTCAGCACCAGAGAGATTTGAATTTAACTTAGAAATTAATTGCCTCTCCAAGAGAACTTCAGCAGTTGCAATAAGCCAGTATACTCTAGATCTATTGAGCCTAGCAGAGACTAGTTAAACACCCTGAGACTAGTAGATATAAGAGTAAGATTAGGATCGGTATTAGACTAAGAAGTTGCACGAATCTATCCGGCCGAAAATAAGATAGCGTGACGAGCAGACGGTGTACACTATCCGAAATTACTCTATGAGTTAACCACATCGGTCCTAACTCATCTGGTGCGACCATAAGTCTCGAATAAGACCTTAATAGCTTAGAACTAACCAAATATAGATTAGAATTTAGACAAAGCATTTTCAAAATGTTACACGATAATAATTCAATTGAAATGTCTCTACGACTCTAAGATCAGAGCCGATATTCTGAACAATACTAGAACTACCCGCTATTGGAAGAAGACCTCGGACAAGAGACGATATACGACTACGTAGAAACCTACCATTTCATTTCATGGTTGTACGGCAAAAGCCAACACAAACTTTTATATTTAGAATCTTATTAGCAATGAATTTAGATTTTCATTTACAAACATAAAGTTTTGAAGTAAATCTTCATGATCTTTTCAGGCGCTAAACAAAATTATTAATGTACAATAACGATTGATAAAAAGATCTCAGATCGTTTTCCTAATTTCTGCAGTATTATATAACATATTTGAAAAATATTTATTGAAAATAAAAATAAAAACTAGTAGCCTGACAATAAATAGTCAGTAATCATAAATCATCCTGTTGTTCCAGCTCCATCACCTAGACATAACAGCAAACATAAGCTCACTAATATCTTTCAAAAACTAATTCTTTTTATTAAATAAATCTAAACCATTTTAAACTTAAAAATTCACTTAATTTTAAAAATCAGATCATCAAGGCTTATCCTTGGATCTTTTTAAATTTTCTATTTCACTAAATTAAAAACCCGATCATCAAGGCCTATCCTAGGATAAAAAAAAAACAATTTTGTTCTCCCCCACCCACTTAGCAAGTGTCTAATGACCTCTAACGTCGATTCACTATCCAACCTTTTCAAAAGACCCAGGACTAATAGAAATTTTCCAATAAAACTAACCATTCAAATTAAGATAAACAGTGAAGAACTCCAGTTATTCATCCTTCACTTGAACCCTCCTCTTACCAGACCCAGGATGGATCTTAAACTTAGTAAATTTAAAATAGTATCTAACGAATTGCTTGCGTTCTAATTATACCTGAACCTTGTGGATCGATATACTATTCTCCAACCCTTGAACACAATCACTACCCCTGAGTAAGATTAAGTAAGTTAACACCTTAACTTAGACTAGCCACGAGAAAGTAGAACATCATTCTCCGGTTTCGATATACTTTTCTCTCCAACCCTGAACAAAAAGACCCAGGTTAAGCTAACCAAAAAATCGTAAGGACTAATAGTTTAAGGAAATAGAAATAACTAACAACTACTTGCATCCCTCATCCTAAACCTTATGTCAATCAAAAATTTAGGAAATAAACAAACAATCGTTTTACACAATTGTGAAATAGATAACAAAAAATACGACCTTGTAATCACACCTCATACACAAACAGTTGGATACATTAGAACAAAACGACAAACAACAAAAAGGAAAATTATAAACAAACAAAGACAAATCACACGAAAAAGATTTTCAAAAAATAGAAACGCATTTTCTGAATCAGAAGTCAACAGTTTAGACGAACTATACAAATTAAAAGAATCAATAGATAAAAATTGTCCCATCCATGATCAATTATTTTTTTCCGACTCAGAAACAACTTCAAATTCATCAAAAAGAGGAAAAAGAAGAATAAAAAAGCAATACAAACACAAATCAGTACACTTGTATTATTGGAATTAACCAATTAGATACATCGATAGTTATATATTAACAGTCATCAAACAAAAAAATGAGCCACACTCAAAGTGACGAAAGTCCAGATGACGAAGCAGTTTTTCCCTTTCTTATAGATTCACTCGATGATAGAGGATAACACGATTTTTGCAAGATATTACTCGTAAGTTTGTTTGAACCAGGAATCAGCCCATGCAAAGCAGAAATCCCAGATGTAAAAATCGAAAGACAAATTATTGAACATTATTTGAAAGACAAATGTAATCTAACACAACAATATGGAATTTACACCATAGAATTTAGCACACCAAATACAGCCCATCGTAAATATGTAATTCAAACAGACGATATTGAATTAGAATTTTCATAAGTATTCATAGAACATATCAAAAGCAACAATATCATAATTCACAAAGAGCAAACTCAATATTCACAAACGAAGTTTTTGCAGTAATATATAGTTATATATCTATATTAGAAAAGACATAAGTTCAAAGTATATCACCAACCGAAACATCCAAACATACAAAAGTACGAAATGAAATCACAGTATTTTCAACGTTTCTACATATAATTCGCGAAAATTTCACAAATGAAGATGTTTCACAAAACACTAAGCATGATTTACAAAAGATTTTAGCATGGTTTATAATAGTTAATTTCACCCACAATTTAGATTTAATTTCACAAGCAAGAAAAACTTTCAGACCTCAAAATACCAATGACGACACTGTTCTTTCAGAACAATCAGATTACGTTTGGGACCCTGACTGGTCTCAATATGCATTTCTAAATATCCCACAAGCTATCTCAAGTAAAGCAATAAGTACAATATCTTTTCACAGAGATTATGTAAAAGTAGTACCATTAACCATTGATGCAACACCATTAAATTATAATACGTTTTTACCTGATACACGTAATCACAGTTTAAATTCGACGGTCATACATAATGAAAACCTCAATGGAACAAGAAATCTTACACAACAAGATATTCAAACACCATCACACTTCATAAATGAAGAAATCATCCAAACAACAGCAACAACTACACAACAGAGTATTTCACCAATACATCCGAATCTGACAACACCAAGAAATACAAATAAATCACTAACACAGGTAACCTTACAATCAACCGTAAAACCTTCGGTTGCTCAAAAATATTCACATATGGACTATCAAACGTATAGAACAATGACAAAACCGTCAAAAACACGAAAACCGTTCACAACAAACACTTTTGCAGAACACAATTATAATTATGCTCACAAACCAAGAACAAACCAACCTCCCCAAAAAAATACACAAAATTTAAACCAAGTATGTTCCCATTATTGGAATCTCCCAAAAAAATCGACCAATTCAGTAAATTTTCCAGATAATCCACAACCTACACAGGATTATAGTGAAAATTACCCATTCTTTCAACAAAATAAAAATCAACAACATACACCATATAATACAAACTGTTTATCATCTGATGAAGATGATTATCACCAACCAGATATTTTTGCACCATATACTAAAGAAAATTGCACACAGAGACCGCGACAATCTCAACCAT